CAGTCCCACTATGAAATAAAAATAAAGCTGGTAACTTCAGGATTTTGACCATTTAACATTTCTCCTTAAATTGAAATAGTTAAAATATCAGCCAAATCACAAATAAGGAACTTTTGGTGTGTCTATTACATCGTTTGGTAGTAACTACACATTATCTTTTACATCATTACACAATATCTTTTACATTTTAAGAGTAAAAACAAATAGAGTTCTGAATGTTCACAGTTTAAAAATGTTTAAGGGGCGCCTGGGTGGCTCAGACAGTTAAGCGTCTGCCTTCGGCTCAGGTCATGATCTCAGGGTCCTGGGATCGAGCCCCGCATCGGGCTCCCTGCTCAGTGGGGAGCCTGCTTCTCCCTCTGTCTCTACCTGCTGCTTCCTCTGCTTGTGCTCTCTCTCAAAAATAAATTAAAAAAATTAAAAGGGCGCCTGGGTGGCTCAATCGTTAAGCGTCTGCCTTCGGCTCAGGTCATGATCCCAGGGTCCTGGGATCGAGTCCCACATTGGGCTCCCTGCTCGGCGGGAAGCCTGCTTCTCCCTCTCCCACTCCCCCTGCTTATGTTCCTGCTCTCGTTATCTCTCTCTCTGTCAAATAAATAAATAAATAAAAATCTTAAAAAAAATAAAAATAAAAAATAAAAGTTTCAAAATACCGCATAAATTACAGGAGGAACCACCACACTGAGGTGCTTACTAAAGGATTCTCCTGGATTCCAAGTCTTGCTCTGCATGGCACTGGCCAGGTGCCTGGAGACACTCTGTTCAAGTCTCCTTACCTCTAACATAGGGTTGTACTTGATTCATGTTGACTTTTGGCAAGACAAATATATGTTTAACAACCTTTCCCTATTATTACTATTATTTCTATTAATAAATATGCCAAGCCACCCCAAATATTATTCTACCTAATTTTCATCAATCTGACAATGTTCTTGGCATGAGGTGCTTCTTTTACTTCAAGTGTGCCACCTTCAAGAATCTCTGATCTATTGCTTGGTTTATTCCTCTCTGACGCTAACATGCAGGGGCTTTTGTTTGCATGTACTGTGAAAGAGGTTAAAAAGAGGACTATAGTTGGTCTGTTTGGCTTAACCTGTGGTTATTTTAAACAGGTGTTTCTTTGCTTTTTTTTTTAGATTTTATTTTTGTTTTTTTTCTAAGATTTTATTTTTATTTGAGAGAGAGACAGAGAGAGAGAAAAGGCAGAGGGAAAGGGGGAAGCAGACTCCCCACTGAGCAGGGAGCCCGATGAGGGCTCGATCCAGGGTCAGATGCTTAACCGGCTGAGCCACCCAGGTGCCCCAACCTGTGGTTATTTTAAATGAAATAGCTTTAGGGGCGCCTGGCTGGCTCAGTTGGAAGAGCATGAGACTCTTGATCTCAGGGTCTTGAGTTCGAGCCCCACAATGGCTGCAGAGATTACTTAAATAAACTTAAATATAACTAACTAAATAAACGAGCTTTTTACATAAGAGTTATAAAAATCAACAATGCAAATGTACTCCATTATGGAAACTATTACACATACGAACTACATTAGCTATTTAAGATATACAAGAAAATAAAAAATACAAGTATTTTCAAAGTACTCTCTGTTATACCAGTTTTGTGCGCATGTGTAGTGCCTTAGAATTAAGACTTAATTTTAGGGGCGCCTGGGTGGCTCAGTTGTTAAGTCGTCTGCCTTTGGCTCAGGTCTTGATCCCAGGGTCCTGGGATCGAGCCCTGCATCGGGCTCCTGCTCAGCGGGAAGCCTGCTCCTCCCTCTCCTGCTCCCCCTGCTTGTGTTCCCTCTCTCGCTGTCTCTCTGTCAAATAAATAAATATTTAAAAAAAAAACAGACTAATTTTACCTTAAAATACAATATAGCATGGCAGTTACAAACTCTGGAGGACACTGCTTGGGTTTAATCCTGGCCCCACTATATAAGCAGAGACCAAAAGCTACATGGGGCCCCTATACCTGGGTTTCCTCCTCTTTGTAAGCTGGGAATAATGGTAGAACTTACCACAAAGAGGTGTTTTGAGGATTTAATAGGTTAACAAAGAGCTTAAAATTGAGCCTGGCTCATAATCAGTACTATATGAGTATTAGAGATCATTATTCCTATGTAGCACTTTTTTTGTTGTAGTAAAATTTGTATGACCTAACATTTACCATTTTAACCATTTTTAAGTACATGGTAGCATTAAGTACATTCACAATGTTGTACAATCAAGGCCATCCATTTCTAGAATGTTTTCATCTTCCCCAAATGAAACTCTGTACACCCACTAAACACTAAAGCCTACTCCCTCTTCGTCCTGGTAACCACCATTCCACTTTTGGTCTATACGAACGTAATGGCTCTAGGTGCCTCATCTAAATGGAATCATACGGTATTTGTCCTTTGGGGTATGGCTCATTTCAATTAGCATAATGTCCTTAAGGTCCATCCATGTTGTAGCATGTGTCGGAATTTCATTCTGTTTTATGCAGTAATTACCAAAAAAGTCCTATACTTTTACTGTTATCAACTAATGCGAAAGTTTTCTGGTTTCTTCTGGAGGTGACAAGCTAGGGAAATAAACTCTTTGAGGGCAAGAACCTTTTTACTTTGGATACATTTGTGTTGCCAACACCCAGCATGATGCCTAGCACTCTTATCAGTTGAGTATTTGTTAATTAAAAGAACGAACGACAAGTACAAGCAGCAATACTGGTGTGCCTATAAGGCATTCAACTCTATGCAAGAGGGGATCATGAGCAGTAGAGTCTGTGGAGTAAGTAAGCTTTCACTCAACAGTTCCTCAGGATTCCAAGCTTAAGTCATAATGCTAGAATGTAAAGGCAGAGTTGTAGATTAGGTTTAGGAAAAGATAAAAGGAAGCCTGGGAGAAAGTTTCAGAATGTACTTCTATATTTTGTTAAATTAGTAGCAGACAGTTCAATCACAAGTTTCTGAAACATGTGTGCAAAATATTTGATCTATTCTACACAGTTAACACAGTACAGAGTTGTCAAGAACATCTAATTTAACCACCTAGCTTCACTGAGAATATAAAACCATCACAGAACTCTGTTTTGGCTAACACACTGCCCCCCGTGACCTAACAGCAAGCATACTTGAGACTTCTAAGGTGTTTTTCACTCAAGACATTTTTAGATTTTCAAGAAGGCTCAATGCTATTCTTTTTTTTTTTTAATTTTTTATTTTATTTTATTTATTTATTTATTTATTTATTTATTTGAGACAGAGAGAATGAGAGAGACAGAGAGCACATGAGAGGGGGGAGGGTCAGAAGGAGAAGCAGGCTCCCTGCCGAGCAGGGAGCCCGAGATGCGGGACTCGATCCCGGGACTCCGGGATCATGACCTGAGCCGAAGGCAGTCGCTTAACCAACTGAGCCACCCAGGCGCCCCTCAATGCTATTCTTAACCAGTCTCTGGCACTGAAGCCACTTCTGTTGGTTTGATGATGTTGGGGCACATGGTGCAGCAAAAGCAGAGCAGGGGGCTTTACCAGGCGCTAATCAGAGATAAGGTCTGGTGGCTCAAGTGGCCTGTGTGTGATGATCAGTACTAATGGAACACCTAGAATAGAATTTTAGAAACCCTTCAGAAAATTCTGGCCACCTCGAAGGAAAGCGTTCAACTTTTGTGCAACTGAAAAGTGTATTAAGGGGTAGAGACTCTAGAATTCAAAAACAATGGCTATAACAATGAGCATTTATTCTGTGAAAGGCACTTGGTTAAGTGCTTTATATTTATTGATCCATTTAATTCTTAGGACAGTCCTCTGAAGAAGGTATTATTATGCTGTCTTACTGAAGACAAAGAGGGGGCTGAGGTTAAATATGATCTAGATCTAGATCTGAGGAGAAAAATAATGAATTTGCCCCCAATAGCTTTCATTATTACACTTACTACACATAAAACTAGAAGTGAGTAGGAGAAACACCCATTACTTAGATCAGGTTTGGGCCTGAATCTGCTCCCATGAGATGTCATAAAAGGTAGCTTGAGACACTTAAAATATAAGAAGATTTAACATGAATGGTAATTTTAAAAATGTACTTGTTAACACAAGGCAACACTATACTTTATAAAAATACTGAAGCACGATGGTAGGATCATCCTGAGATGATCAAAACCGTCTCTTTCCTACAAGGAATTCAGATGCTTACAGTCTAATTCAAGGGGAGATGAGTTAGGTACAGACATACAAAGAAAAAAGAAGGGGGTAGGGCTAAATTCTAACTGTACGTCAGGTCTCAGAGGAGCCAACTTCTAGATCTCCAGCTGGAACACCATTACAGGGTAGAGAAGCTGAAGTCCCAGCCCAAGAATGATCAAAGATGAGCAGCTCTGAGGTGGTTTCACTGGAGAGTGGGGGGAAGAGGTAAGTTGTTGACTTATATTAAAATTAACTCAAACAAGAGGAATTCAAGAGCAGGATATACCTGTTTGTGTCATGACTTGAGACACCCTGCCCCTTTTAAAGATTTTATTTATTTACTGACAGAGAGCAAGAGCGCACAAGCAGGGGGAGCAGCAGAGGGAGAGGGAGAAGCAGGCTCCCCACTGAGCAGGGAGCCTGATGCAGAGCTCGATCCCAGGACCCTGGGATCATGATCTGAGCCGAAGGCAGATTCTTAACTGACTGAGCCACCCAGGCACCCCATTCTGAGACCTTTTTACCCAAAAGGTAGCCCTTTAAATTAAGTAAAGCCCATGTAACCATGTGAAGGATACCAAGCAAAATTTAATATTGTCCTTGCTAGTAAGCAGAAATACAAAACATGATATCCTAATTAAAAATTAACCAAAAGAAACAAGATCACTCTTCAAATTGGCGTCCTGGAGGTTATGAGATCAAAACAAATGCCATTATAACCTACTCAGGAAAACCAAGGGCAGTTTTCAGTCCCAAATGCCTAGGTGTTTGGGGGTGACCGGCACATACTAAGAATAAAACAAAATGTCTAAGTTCACAGTCCAGAAAGAAAGGTGTCCATTACCTTTGTAAGTCAATCTGTCTTTCTGCTGGTGCTGCCTTTTTGGCTCCATCTTGCAGTTTGGGGGCTTTGGCGTTACCTGCTTCCAGACCCCCAGGGCTTTCCTGACTGACCGCAGCTCTCTTTCTTCCCTTGCCCAGAGGTTTGTTTATGTCATCAGTTTTGGTTGCATTGCCCTGAGATTCAGACTTGGGTCGGCGCCCTCTCCTGGGTTTTGAAGGGGCAGGTGGTCCTGATTCGTCTACTTTCTCATCTGTTTTTTGTTGGATGTTCTCTGCACCAGCTGCTGCTACACTTCTTTTCTTTCCTCGGTCACTGCTGATGTTGCCCTGGGTAGTCTGATCAGAATTGATCTCCTAAAAGAGCACAAAACAATTCTATAAACATAAATTCCTTATATATCAATGATCTGTACTGGAAAGAAGCATTTTGAAAGTATTTTCGAGGAGCTGGAATTCCAGTCTTCTAATGAACTCCTTGAGGGTAAGGACCTGAGAGCAGGGCCTGCCATGGGGCTTGGCATATATAATCTATGCCATAAATGCTTATTAAAATGCACAGGTGGTATAAATAGAGAAAATCTACTCAGTTTTGCTTTCACACTCATTCTAAATGAAAAGGTCCTTTTAATCGATGGTATGCTCTAAATTTATCACTTTTTAAAAAAGGGGAGTATGCTTGCATAATTGAATATGCTCTTTATCTGTGATGCTCCCTTGACTATAATAATTTCTGTAATTCTATGACATAAGGTTCTTCAATTTCTCACTGCCTTCATACATTCTAATTTTTGTCACTTTTTGCTGCAAACATTAACCTTCTACTTTTTTTCTGAACATTTTTTTCTTTTAGTTTACCAAATATATGTGTTAAGTCATCTAAAATGTTCAAATAAAATCCCATTTTAATATACCATATAATGGACTTTAATAGTTTTTAGAGTTGAAAGTGACCTTATACAGAGGATATTTAGGAGTCATAATTTTAACTGATAAAATTCAAATTGATTAAAGGAAGACAAAGGAGCACTATCATTGTCCAAAAAATCAGTTAATCTTTTCAATTAACTAATTTTCATTTCCCCCAGAAAATCTTTTCAGAATGACTGGGTAAAAAATATTTATAAATCTTTCATGATTCAAGAAAATTTACTTAAATGAAAACTCATGAAAATAGTAATTTAAGTGAAAAAATTCACAAATCAGTGTTCCACCTTGCTGGGTAGCAATGTCAAGTGTTCCACTTTTTCAAGGAAGCAATATGGAAATATCTAAAATCTGCAATACATTTTACTCTTTGACTCAGCAATCCCACTACTAGAAAGTAAGCCCATAGAAATAAAAAATCACCAGTAAATGTTTGATGCACATTTAATTTTTAATGCAACATTGTTTGTAGCGGCAAAAAAGGGGAAGGGAAATATTTATGTATATACACAGGTGAAAATGTAAGACAAGAAAAAAATTAATACAGATTACTTTTTTTTTTTTAAGGTTTTATTTATTTGACAGAGAGAGACACAGCAAGAGCAGGAACACAAGCAGTGGGAGTGGGAGAGGGAGAAGCAGGCTTCCCGCTGAGCAGGGAGCCCGATGCGGGGCTTGATCCCAGGACTCTGGGATCACGACCTGAACAAAAGGCAGACGCTTAACGACTGAGCCACTCTGGCGCCCCGATACAGATTACTTTTTAAAAGGAACAAAGGCTGCAATAAAAATCATGCACATGACTGTATTTACACACTTATGAAAATTATGTACATGTGCACATGTTTAAAGAACTCATTAAAAGACAAATGAAAGAGGAAACCCATTGGTCAGCCACAGGTATGAAGAAAAAGAAGCCTCCTTCAGGCCAACACTGGTAACATTGCCTGTCTGAATCCATGGGCTATGTCTTGCTTCTTTTAACCACCTCCCTTACTCATCCTTCATATTACAGTTTGATTTCCCTCACAGAGTAAGTAACAGGAGAGAATGTCTTGATTTTTTTTTTTTTTAAGAGATGGGGAGGGGCAGTAGAAAAGGGAGAGAGAGAATCTTAAGCAGGTTCCACACCCAGCACAGAGCTTGATGTGGGGCTCAACAGCACAACCCCAAGATCCTGAGCTGAGCTGAAATCAAGTTGGACACTTAACTGACTGAGCCACTCAGGCGCCCCAAGAATGTCCTGATCTGTAAACACCTATATCTGATTTGCTGGATAATTTTTATACACATAATCAACTGGTTTACGCATTAATCTCTTCGAAAAATTGGTCAGCAAGAAACATTCTCTTCGATCTTTATCTTCTTTTAGTATACCAACAAGATAGTTTTTTGAGCCTAGCAGACTTTGGAAAGAAATGACGACAACTTATGGGAGACCTGACTGGGAAGTGATTAAGTTTTGTCAAAATACAACCCCTGTGTGTTCAAGGCTATAGCGAATTTGTTAAAACATTCTTTGGAGGGGCGCCTGGGTGGCTCAGTTGGTTAAGCGTCTGCCTTTGGCTCAGGTCATGATCCCAGGGTCCCTGCTCACTGGGGAGCCTGCTTCTCCCTCTGCCCCTCACCCTTTTGTGCTTGCTCTTTCTCTCAAATAAATGAACGGAATCTTTAAGGGAAAAAAAAAAAAAATTCTTAAAAAAAATTCTTTGGAAGTGTGAAAAAGTTAAAATAAGGGTTTGGAACACTATTATAGATTAATCATAAAGTAACATTTTGGCTTCTCAAAAATTACAATTTAAATATCACATTTATCTTTTCTATTATTAAAGTATAATTGACATATAACATCAATTTATATCTTACATAGAATTTTATATCACAGGCTAGAAAAGTTATAGTTGTTTGTGCCAGAAAAAACTTTTTATCCCTGTACCACCTCTTCCTACACATTTAAGTACGTTTAAATGAATGTCTGTGGCAATATGCATTTTTGTATGTAAGTCTGTTTACGTCAAAATGTTTAATTCTATACAAGAACCCCACAATATTCAAGTCTATTGGTTTCTGAATTTCAAGAGTTTTGACAGTGAGAGGCTCCCTGTTACCTGAATCTACTGACATACTGAACTTCAGATAACAAACAGCAAGAGGCTGAATAGTAAAAGACTGATCTAAAAATGTATCACCATCTATTCAGTTTGAATTCAGATAATGAGTTTGCATAGTTCAGCTATTGTGGAATAACTGTATAGTCTTGTATTTTATGTATCTGAGGGCGATTCCTAAAACATTTGATGAATACTATAAATATATGGTGGGCGATACAAAGATAAATATGTTGAGAATATGATTCTGCAGGAAAAGAAGTAATAGTTATTTCCATACCATTGCTACTGAGGTAAGTTACCGGTCTCATTCTATAGTTTAATGAAGCTCAGGGACACACAGCCAATGAGTGGCAGAGCCAGGATTCAGACTCAGGTCTGATTCTTACCAGTGTTTCTCTCCTGCCACAAAATTGTTAAAATTGGGTGCCATAATTATAAGGTCAACAATAAAGAATGTAGCCGTTAAATAGAAACTCAAATACATTTTAAAAGGTTAACTCATAAATTTAACTTTTAAGAAATATAACCAAAAAAACAGTGTATATATCTCTTATAGGAGTCAATAAACTTGAAAGTAAGATCTCAAAAACTCTCAATTCCTAGTCTTTCAAGTTTTGGGAGTAGTAGTGTGGGAGAAGGACACTACTAAAGGTGGCTACATCAACTCTTGAAATGGGTGGATGTAGGCAGTGGAAGCATGGTAAGTATAGTGAGAGGTGGTACACACAAATGTAGAATATGTAGTATATATTAACTTGTCAAGTGGGGGTTTCTTAACATATACCATGAAACTGTAATAATCTCCGGGAGAATTCCATTTGTTAAATTTTAAAAATTTACCTTATTCTTTACTGGATCAATATTCTTTACAGGTGTGACAGAAATAATCCTCACAGGGTTCTCTTCATTTTCACTAACTCCAGTTTCTACTGCCTCTGAACTCTGTTCCCTGTTGAAGAAAAATAAACCGAAGCTTCTTTATTTCACCACATGGACAGATAGCCTACCCTTTCACTAACCAATAAGGAAACAGAAGCTTAGGCTAGTTTCGAAGCCCAGCCAACTGAAGCAACATTAGCAAGATTCAGATCTTCTGTGGTTATAAGACCACTGCTGTATTATATCATGTTACTGATTCCCTTTAACCTTACTAATGTAAGACACAAATGACTGCCTAAAACCGCCAGACAGAAAGATTAGCTGTCTAGAAACAAAATCATACAACTATTTTAAGACTTTCTCTTAGGGGTAGGAAACCCTAACACAAAGTAAAAATACAGTGATAGATGTATTATAGATAGTGTATAGTACAGTTGTCTCTAGTCTGTGTGTGGTTTTTTTTTTAAGATTTTATTTTTAAGTAATCTCTACGCCCAACATGGAACTCGAACTCAAAACCCCGAGGATCAAGAGTCGCATGCTCCTCTGACTGAGCCAGCCAGGTGCCCCTCCAGTCTGTGTTCTTAATGCTCTGCAAGGGAGGGGGCTGGAAGAAGAGGCCACAGGGGAGATGTTTGAGACTCACCATTTCTGTAAACCACAGATGTTCCATGTTAATTTATTTTATATTTTGGGGTTCTACTGCTAAGAATGTGTTTAAAAACAACATAAATTGAGTTTATACTTAAAATTTCATGAGTAAGAATAAAATCTTTAAAAGCTTCAAATTCTAGTGTTGATAAGAGTAGGGTTAGGTGGAAATTTTTATGCAGTGGCTAACATGGTAAAGACATGTTAAAATAAACATGGAATATTCTTATAAGTAGAAATGTTATAATAATGTCATCTTAACTCATGCTATACTAATTTGAGTTAAACATTAAAAAGCACATAAATTCGATTTAAGAGTTCTATATTCATAGTTTTCCTAAGTGTTCATTTTTCTTATATAAACATTTCCATGAAAATTAGTTATAATATATTAGATATTCTTAAATTTGGGGCGCCTGGGTGGCTCAGTCGGTTAAGCGTCTGCCTTCGGCTCAGGTCATGATTCTGGGGATTGAGTCCCGCATCGGGTTCCCTGCTCAGTGTGGAGTCTGCTTCTTCCTCTACCCTTCCCCCTTGAGATCTCTCTCTCTCAAATAAAATCTTAAGAAAAAAAAAAAACCTCTTAAATTTGTTCCATTTTAGTTTTTTACATACTTAGAATGTTATATGGGTTCAAAATGTAATTGTGCACTCTTAATTTCCATCATTAATTTTACTAAAACTCAGTGCTATTATTTTATGCCAAAATGTTTCCTAAAGTCTATGTTTGTGATCTAGTGCTTTAGGTAAAAATTAAAAGATGAACCAAGTAGTGAATGATAGTAACAAAAACAAATGGAGAAAAAAAATTGCCTTGATCGATTTCCGGTTGAAGGGTTCAGCTCTGAATTTACATTAATATTGCTTCCAGTCTCAGCTCCAGTGCTTCTAACATACGGTTTCCTTCCCGTTGCTGATAAAGGCTTGTTTACTGCACCTAGTACTCCAGCAGGTTTTGGCTAAAAATTACATATGCATATTATTTATACCTTACTGTAAGGAATTCACATAAATTTAGACACATGTAAAAGATACTGTTTAGCCTAAGCCAAGGAATTGTTACTTTAGAAAGTTAAAATCTAAACTTATTAGAAATGATAATTTTGCAAAATTGGGTTTGTCCGAATACAATTACAAGTCACAAGTTATTACCTCTACTTAAAAATAACTAGGCAGTATTTATTTCTTATTGGTCAATCAAAATAAAAAGTGCCCCTGAAACACACAGCAAAAATATATAAGATATAATAAAATGTCTTATAAACTATTAAATGTATATAATAGTTTAGACACTGTTTTTATCAAAAATTAAATTTCTTTTGCTCTTTTAGCTGTCATGTTACTTTTATGGAATATAAATTATCTAGTTCATTAATACTTTAAAATTATTTCTTTTTTTAAATCTTCATATCTAAATTTATTATACCATTTTTCAAGAAAATCTGCTTTGTGTATTATGAATAACTTGAAGCCTACTAGTACTGATAAGAACACATGGTCGTAATTCAAGAGTTGCTTATGGTAGAAAAAAGCCTGAGTGAACAAATGCTTTAGATGCTACAATCCACAATATGGTCCTTAAGAATCAGGAACTATAAAATCCATGGGGCTTTTAAAAGTTATTTCTAAGTACATCAGAAGTAATGTACACATGAGATAAAGATTTCCAAATTATCTAGTACACAATACCTTTCCTGTTAGCAGAAGTACTCTAGTCTCTTCTGAAATATAACTTTTGTCATTACAGAAATCCTACAAAACAAACAAACAAACAAGTGAACATGTGTATTTTTATTGTCCAAATACGACTTTGCAGGCACTGTGCCTTATGATAACAAATACATTTGGGCCAGCATACATATTAATTCCTCAAATAAAGCATATTTAATGAACCATGTCATTAAGTCTAGCTTTAACTCAATGGCACATAAGACTTGGCAAATATCAGAGTTCAATTACTTAAATCACATTTTAAATAAAACACATTCCTATTTTTTCATATAATTCAGGGCAAATAGTCTCCAGATTATTCTCTACTCTATTGTAAAATTTACTTCACCTGGGATCCCAAAGCATCCAAAATGGTACAGTACATATATTAAGCACTTAATATTCACTAAAATAACTTCACACTTGATCTCAAGAAAATTACCCTCATTGAAAAAAAAAATTGTCAGTTTAATTAAAAATATTGTTTCTTAGAACCATAAGAAGACTGTCCAAATCAAATTTACATTTGGCATGTAAATACACTGTCAAAATATAATTGAGTTATAATGTTCTTTGGCGGCAGTGATGTTTACTAGTTAATAAATGAATTAAACCTAATGTGGACACTGATGGTACTTTCTTGAAAGTTTTATCTATATGAAACTTAAGAATCCTTTGATGCTTCTGTTAAATATCCAGGAATAGCACACATATAAACCACAATGGTGTCACATAACTAAAGTGATTCACTATGACCAAGAAGTTTATTAATTTTTTAAGTGATCTCACTTATGTTCTTCTGTAAAATACTCTAAGGGAGGGTATTACCCTGAATATTCTGAAGCATATCTTAAGGTTTGAAAATGTATAAAAACTTTTAAATGATGTATTTTTTCCAATTAAAAATACTTAGGATTCTGGGGGCACCTGGCTGGCTCAGTTGGTAGAGCATGTGACTCTTGACCCCAGAGTCCTGAGTTCAAGCCCCACGCTGGGTGTGGAGCCTACTTAATTAAAAAAAAAAAATTAGGATTCTATTTTCGAAACAAAGCACAGGAGGGTTAAACTTCCAAATACTTCCTTAAAGCAGTAAAGAGGTAGAAAACTTTTTTCTAAAAAAAGGTTTTAAATTCTGATTAGTTGAAAAAACAAAGAACTTTAGTTAGCTGGAAAATTTACTTAGATGGAAAACTTAATTTGCTGATAGCACAACAAATGATGTATTATTACTACCATTTACTGAATGCTTATTATGTGACAAACTCTTATAAAATTATAGACAAGTATTAATAATTGTTCATAGGTATTATCACCTGTATTTTAGAGAGACAGAAATTGAAGCTTAGAAGAGTTAACTGTCTAAAGTCCCTGAACTTAGAAGCTGCTGATTAGAATACATCATTCGCTGAGACCCAATTCTGTTAATTCTAACATTTTATTTCATTTATATTTATATTTACACTGTACCAAACATTTTATTTCTTGCCTGATAAAATACAGTGTTTTAATAAAGTGAGATTTAAGCAATTTAAGAAATCTGAAAACTCCTCTTAAATACTAGAAATATCCAGAAGGAATAGCTCATGCAAGAATATCACCATAAAGCTTGATTTGCATTCTCCTACTCTGTAAGGTGAGAATGATATTTGTTCAGGGCTTTGGAAGACAATCTCCCATTCCTTGATATAAATACAAAGAGCTATTTCTTACTCTGTAGTCAAGACAATCCACTATTTGCCACTAGGGTTGATGGTAACTGAAATTTAAGTTAGTTTAGTGTGGTGGAACAACGAAGAGAAAAAAATTACCTTTTCAGGTTGTGTAAAAAATTTCAGTGGAAGGACTGGATCCTTTGGTGAATCTGCATTGCACAAAGCACTTTTACTATTTATAACACACAGAGCCACATCACATACTGTATAAAGTTTCTAGGGAGGAAAGAGAGAAAGATCATATATAACTTTCAGTAGCACAAAATAACCTCAAGTACCAATTCTACCCAATGTATAAAATGAAATGAAAAGAGGGATATGTGGATATTATTTATTCCTTGAACATTTCACATTTGTGTTTGCATTTCTTCTTATGTAGCCTCCTGGTAAAAACAACAAACAAACAAAATGACCCTTTACCTAATTAACATGAATGCCGAGTATGCATTAAAAACAAATAAACCAAACCAAATCAAGGGAAACATACAAAAAGGAGTATCTACTTGTCTGTGACTTATTAAAGATTTGTAAGACAGCAGAGTAGTAAATTTTATTAGTTCTTATCCCCCTGCTCTGTAGAAATTTTAATGTCCTTTTCAGGGTAATAAACATTCCTCCAATAATAGAATTCAATTATAAAATACAATAAAACTGACCATAAATATGTATTTTTATGAACACTCTGTAATCTAATTTATTATGTAATAGGAAAAACAAGTGGGACAAGGACTGTAATATTTTTTCCTGTAATTATCTTAATATACGCTGGCCTAACACATATCTTACTTCATTTGTCTTGGATTCATCTGGAGACTGGGCATCTTTTGTTAACTTGATGTTCTCTGCCATCTTCTTCATAAAGGCATGGCTATTGTTTTCATTCTTTGTCATTAAAACTTCAAGCATGAACCATAGGCACCTAAATGATAAACATATTCGCCTATTAAGAGAGACTAAAAGTAGGTGCTTTGCTTAATGGATTAGACATCTTATTGGGAAGGTCTGTTGTCTGGATATAACAAAGTAAGAGTGAAATATAAACTAAACCATAAAATATTAAAAATGAAAACATAGCTTAATACAAGGAAGTCTGACAGTTTCACGAGGCATGTAAAGATTCATTCTGTAGGTATTCAATAGACATTTAGATGATTTGACATGTATCACTGCCCAGCAATGATGAGGAAACCAGCAGGCAGCAGTCTTTCTTCTTTTGACGATTTGCAAACTATGCAGGTCTAGTATTTGCATGGAATTCTGCTGTGACATGACTCCAAATTGCATGTGCATAGTAACCGGTCATTCAGCTAAGCAGTCACAACTCAAACTATTTTTGCTTTTCCACTTATACTGTATACTCATTTAATACATAAAGTATCTGAAGGGAATACCTGAATTTCTAAAGTAAAAGTGAATCCCAAATCAGGATGAACATTAGAATCCTTGAAGAACCTAAATCAACAAATCTAGGGTAAGGCCTGTTTGTAGTAAGTTCTCAGGATGATTCTCAGGCAGCCATGGGACTTACTGATTTACTGCATCAATAGGGGAGAAATAATTTGATGATAATGTATGCGTACTTCTTTGCCTATATTCTATGTAAATGTTTTGAGGGACTACTGTAAGGGGGAAATTTAGCACTAGGTTAATGGAGTTCATTTTTAGTAGACCTGTTTTAAAAGAACTATTAAAGTGAGTCCTTCAGGCTGAAATAAAAGGACACCAGACTGTAACTTAAAACCATAAGAAGAAATAAAGAACACTAGCAAATAGTAAAGGGTAACCACATAATATAAAAGCCAGCATTACTGTACTTTCAATTTTAACTATTTTTACATAAAGACTTTAAAGGCAAATGCGTAAATAATAATTACATCTATGTAAATGGAAATAATGTAAAAAGATATAATTTCTATCACAATATCAATACTAAAGGGAGAGGGGTAGAGTTGTATAGGACAAAGTGTTTGTATACTATTGAAACTAAGCTGCTATTATTCAGTCTAGGTTGTTACGAGTATTAGTTGTAATCTCTAAGAAAATAACTAAAAATACACAGAAAAGGGAATCAAAAAGGTTCACTACAAAAAACAAGTAAATACAAAAAATGAAGGGAATTAAGTAACAACATATATAAGACAGAGAAAACAAATAGCTATATGGCAGAAATAACTCTTCACCGGTAATTACTTCAAATGAAAATAGATTAAAAGCCCCCAATTAAAAGGCAGAAATCAGAATGGGAAAAGAGGAGAGGAAAAAAAAAAAAGATCCACCCATGTCTGTCTACAAGAGATTCACTTTGGTGTAAAACCACAAAGCATCTTAAAGTAAAAGGATAAAAAAATATAGAAATATTTCATGCAAATGATAACCAAAAGAGGGCTGGTAGCTATTTTATGATCAGACAAAATAGATTTAAGGTAAAAAAAAAAGATTGTAAGAGACCCAGAAGTACTACACTGATACAAGGTTCAGTTCAGCACGAAGATACTATTATCATAAAGCCATACAAACCTAACAGAGCCCCAAAATTACATGAAGCAAAAATTGACAGAATTGAAGAGAAATAGAGGATTCTGCAGTAATAATCAGAAATTTGAATAGATCTTCAAGCAGACTCCCCGCTGAGCGTGGAGCCTGATGCAGGGATCGATTCCACAACCCTGAGATGATGACCTGGGCCAAAACCAAGAGTTGGATGCTTAACCAACTGAGCCACCCAGGCACCCCTTCAATACCTTATTTTCAGTAATGGACAGAAAAGCCAGACAGAAGATCAGTAAGAAACCGAGAACTTGGTCTGATTCAAGATGGTGATGTAGTAAGACCCCAAGTTCACCTTCTCTCAGGAATATGCCACATCTACAGCTACATATGGAACCAATTTCCTCTTAAAAAACCTAAACGCTGACTGAGTGATGACTACACATTAGGCAAACAAGAAAAAAAAAAACACATCAAAGTGGGTAGGAGAGGCTGGGACACAATCTCACCATGAACCCCACCCCAGGTGCTGTGACCCACAACTGGGAGGAAACTCAAAATACCTGGAGCTTTTTCCTGAGGAGTGAAAGGTTCAAATCCCACATTGGTCACCCCAACTTCTAAGACAGGAACTACAGAGATGAATCCCCGAAATGTCCCACAGTGGGACCCACAAGTCTAGCAATCTGAGAAATGCCTCTTAAAGGGTTTGTGTGCTGGAACTGACCTGCCCCAGGGCCCAGCTCAGAAGCAGCTTAAATTTAGTGAAAAACGTTAACCTGCTTAAAACCTTCACCTGAGGGGCAGGCATCTAATTCAACTTACACATCTAGGAGCCTGCTGGAACACTCTCCAGGGATGGAGACTGGGGAGTGCCATCTTTGCATTCTCCCTTTGCTGTGCTCCAGAGAATGAGTAGCTCCCAGAAGGGAACCTTTACACATGTCTGGTGCCCTGATTTTTGTGGGTGCTGCCCAGAGGGACATCTCTTGAACACCTGGCTCTGGAGAACAGAGGAGCTTGTGTTTCTGGTCACATGGGAATGTAATAATCACCTAGAAAGGAATTCAGAACCCTTCCTGGTGCCCCAGTTTTTGTGACTGCCGCCAAGGGGCACTTCTACATCACCTGACACTCATGGCCAGTGGGGTGTATGTTCCTGGATCCCAAAGGACTATAACTAATGCACAAAGAATGCCTAAAGAGCTACCAGCTACCATCCCTCCCGGGCACAGCAAGAGGCAAATGACCCAGGACCCTGGTTTTTCTGTCAAGTAGGCCTATTAGCTAATCATCATAACTGTGGCCTGAGGTGCAGGTTTCTAATTAAAACAATCATCTAGAGGCTGACTGAAATCCTTCCCAGAGACCTCGGAGGACAGGTGCTGTCTTCATGCTCACCCTCTGCCGTGCTCCGAAGTGCCAGTTCTCCTGGAAGGGAGCTTTGAGTCCAGTGACTGATGCTCAGGGGGCACCCCTTAATCACCTGGCTGTGGTGGCTGGAGGGGCTTGCATTCCAGGGTCCCAAGGGACTGTGGTAATCGGAGGGACAGTTGTTGGCAGGCTACCACCCTCAGGGCACTGCACAAACAGCGGACTGAGGCATCCCTTCAGTTTTTCCTGTCAATAGGCCACTTCATCCTGGAGCTTTGGACTAAGGGCAGGACTTAGCTTTGCCACGCATTTAGTGGCCTGTGGTGCTTCCTCAAGGAACAAAGGCCATAGATGCCATCTTGGTGCTCTCAGTCTTTCTCCAGCTTGTTGGTGTCTCCCAGAAAGGAACTCATATACTCATTTGGAACCCCAGTTTTTGTGAATGCCACCTAGCAGACATCCCTCAAGATGCCTGGCTCTGGTGGTCAGTGAGGCTTCTGCTCCTGGCCCCTGAGGATTGTATATATCTGCATACTTTTAAAAGCAGCTGCCTGAAGGTTTGGTTTCCAGTCAGTCTGAATCTAGGTGCAGAGATCCTCCATTAGAGAACACTGACAGCTCTTGGCACATCCTTAACTACGGGGAGCTATTAAAAATATAACAGGTTGCTTGGATAAACTCAAAGTTTTGAGAGATGACCAAGAGCTGGGTAATGCTGAATGAAAAGGTTCAACTCCTCCCCAAGGTCACCTTCAAGACTAGAAAAGATGGGTGTTTCATCTCCTGTACAGAAACCAATTCAGAGGGTCAAGCAAAAGGAAGAAACAGAAGAATATGTTCCAAATGAAAGAATAAGATAACACCTCATAAAAAAGCCTTAATGAAAGGAAGATAAGTAAATTTATTAAGAGTTCAAAGTAATGGTCATAAAATGCTCACCAAACTGGGGAGGAGACTGGATGAACAGAGTGAGAACTTCAACAGGGATAAAATTTAACAAAGTACCAAACAGAAATCACAAAGCTGAAGAATAATGGAACTGAAAATTTCAACACAATAAAGGGGTTCAAAAGCAGACTAGATATGAAACAGAAAAAAAGGATCAGTCAGCCTCAATAAAAGCAGCAAAAAGAAAAATAATGAAATAAAAAGTGAAAATAGCTTCAGGAAATTAAAGGATATCAAATGGACTAATATTTGAATTGTAGAGCTTCCAGAAGAGGAAAAAAGAAAATCTTATTTGAAGAAATATGGCTGAAAACTTCCTGAACATAGGACGGAAACAGACACCAGATCCAGGAAGCCCAGACAGACCCAAAAATACGAACCCAAAGAGACCTACACCGACACATTACAATTAAAACGTCAAAAGTCAAAGACAGGAAGTGAGTATTATAAGCAACAAGAGAAAAAAAAAAAGTTACATATAAGGGAATCCCCATAAGACTATCTAACAGATTGTTCAGCACAAACTTTGCAGGCCAAGAGGGAGTGGCACAATATATTCAAAATGCTCGGGAAAAAAACAAAAAACAAAAAACACCAAGAATATTTTACCTGCCAAGATTATCTTTCAGAATGGAAGGAGAGAGAAAGAGTTTTTCAGAAAAGTAAAAGCTAAAGGAGTTCATCACCACTAAAATGGTTGTCAAAGGGACTTCTTTAAGCAGAAAAGAAAGGGCCCTAATTAGTAAAAACAACACATGTGAAATAGTATCACTGGAAAGGTAAATATACAGTATGGTGAAGGTAGTGAATTACTTATAAAGCTAGTATGAAGGTTAAAAGACAAAAATAGTAAAAATAACTATGATTCAATAATTAGTTAAGGGATATACAAGATAAAAAGATTCAAAATATAACATCAAAAACATAAAATGTGGGGAGCAGAGTTAAAACGTTGAGATTTAGGGGCACCTGGGTGGCTCAGTCCAGGTAAGTGTCTGCCTTCAGCTCAGGTCATGATCCCCAAGTCCCAGGATGAAGCCCCATATTGGGCTCCCTGCTCAGCGGGGAGTCTGCTTCTCCCTCCCCCTGCTCCTTCTCTCGTCCACTCTC